CACCGCCCGGCCCAATCGCTCATTAGAGCCCAATTACTGTAATTAACGCTGCCGCGAGGCAGAGGCGGAGCCGCCGAAGGGAGCGGTGCCGGCAGAACTCACACCCGGCAGCGGCTCCCGGCAGGGGCGGGGGGACACCCGGGAACCGCGGCTGCGGCTGGGATAGGGGATGGGAAAGGGTTGGGAAGGGGATGCGAAAGGGATGGGAAGGGGGTGGGAAGGGGATGCGAAAGGGATGGGAAGGGGGTGGGAAGGGGATGGGAAAGGGATGGGAAGGAGGTGGGAAGGGGATGGGAAAGGGATGGGATGGGAAGGGGATGGGAACACCCCGCGGAGGGTGCCCGGTGCGCCCCAAAGGATTGAACTGATCCGTGGGATGGCAGAGCCCCGGATAACCGGGGGAAAGGGCACCCCGTTATCCCGTGTTCCATGGTGGGCAGGGACATCCCGTTATCCCTGATTCCATTGCTGGCAGATGGAATGGGATGGGATGGGATGGGACGCAGCATGGAATGGGAATGTCATGGCATGGAACACACAGCACGGCATGTGACACACAACGTGGTATGGAATGTAGTGGTATGGGACACACAGGATGGGGTGACATGGCCTGGGACACACAGGATGGCATGGGACACACAGGATGGCATGGACACACAGCATGGGGTGACATGGCATGGGACACACAGCATGGCATGGGACACAGCATGGGGTGACATGGCATGGGACACACAGGATGGCATGGACACACAGCATGGGGTGACATGGCATGGGACACACAGCATGGCATGGGACACACAGCATGACATGGGACACAGCATGGGGTGACATGGCATGGGACACACAGGATGGCATGGGACACACAGCATGGCACAGCACAGCTGTGCCACCCCTGCCCCTCTCCCAGTGCTCCCCTGCCCGGACAGAGACCCAGCGTGGGAAAAGCAGTTTGGACGCTCTGGGCTCAAGCCCCTGCCCACCTCCATGGGAGCCCTGCAGGAGCTCCATGCTCCGGGAAGGAAATCACGAACACCAAGTGGGTGATGCCACCCCAAAAGTGCCCTCCSCCGCCTGCACATCCCTAGGATCCTGGGGGAATCAATTCCCACTTGGTTTTCCAGCTGCTCCCAGCTCGGCTGTCCTGCCCTGGCAGCATCAGCCAAGYCCGACCTGACAGCACCTTCAAAAAGCTCTCATCAATTCATAATTAAAAATCCAGCGTGGAGGGGGGCGGGAATAATTGAGTTAGAAAATCTGGGAGCAGGCTGACGGCACAAACAGGAATGAGAGAGCCCAGCAGCTCCTCCTCAGCACCTGGAAAAGCTGGAGCCCGGCCCAAGGAACTGCCCAGGGCCGCGGTTCGCTGGGAAGTGGAGCCGGAGCCGCTCAGGTGCCAAAGGGGCGGCACAGGGGGGCCTGAGGATCCCAGTATTCCAACAAAGGATTCCTGGCAAGTCCCCTCTTTCCAAGGTCCCCTGTGCCAGCCCCTCGCTGCCTCCCGCCCCCAATCCCATGGAAATGTGCTCCAAGCACTCCCGGCGTATCGCCGGGCGGGCAGAGCGCTGCTCCCGCCCTTCATCCCTCCCTCGCAGCAGGTCCTGTCAGCTCCGATCCATCAGGCAGCCCCGCAGGACCCTGCAGCTGTCCCGGTTCATGGAAGCGCTTTGTCTCCATCAGGGCCCAGGCCGGGAGCCCGGGAATGCCGGGTTTCACATCCCAGGGATCGGGAGCTGTGCCATCCCGCTCCCCTGGCCTGATCCCAGCCCTTTTCCTGCATCCCAAGCCCTGCCAGGGTGCTGACTTGAAGCTGGAAAGAAGAGGGCCAGGGTTTGGGATGGCCCAGGAGGAGCCCAGTCCTCGGCAGCGTCCCCGGGGGTGGGGGAAATGCCGAGGGCGGGGAGTTTCTTCCACCAATCCTGAACCCACCCCATCATTACCATCACCTCCCAGCTCAGGGGTCCCTGTCAGGGGTGTCCTGTGCCCCCAACCTCCCCCTGCTCCTGCTTTTCCCCCCAGCTCCGTGCAGGACTCCTTGGATGCGAGGGTTTAGASACACTTTGTTTGCAGTTGAGCTTCAGTACATTGACTTTTTATTCTTTTTTTTTTCTCTTTTTGGCCCTTTTTTACAAAAACCAGTGGTAGTTATGAACAGCTGTACAGATTCTGCTACATACTTTGGTGTGAAGTCGAGACCCTGGCTCCAGAAGGCTCCACCAGCTCTGGAACATGCAATTCCTGCCTCAATCCTGGTCTCTGGGGAGGAAAACTAAGCTGCAAACCCATGGGGCTGGGGGACATGGGCTGGGGGTGACCCCGCTGCTGGGGGGGACCCTGGGGACAGGGCAGAGCCCCCCAGCCCTTCCCAGCACTGCCCCATCCACGCAGAGGGGAAGGCGCTGAAGGCCATGGAACTGCTGTGCCCAGGGTCGGGGTGCAGAAAGGGGCACAGCTGCCCCAAACCAATCCCAAAACTGACCCCAAAACACCCCTGGAGCCCTCCAAGGCTCTGCTGGCTGCTGGGGCAGGGGCAGAGTTATTAATCTGAGCCAAACCATCCTAAAATGCTAAAGCAGCTTTGGAGAACTTGGGCTTCTCCTTCCTTGGATCATCAACGCCCCAAACTGATCCCATCACCCCTGGAACAGCCACCCTGTGCCTGGAACACTCCTTTGTTTCAGCTCAAAACCCTCTCATTTTGATGGGAAAAGCAGGATCCCCCAGGAGACTTCTCCTCCTTCCCAGCCCAGCTCCTCTGTCCACCCCAGGGGCAGCCAGAGGGAAGGGATGGATCCCTCAGAGGGATGGATGGAAGCTCCTGGGAGGGCTGCAATTCCAGGTCCCACCTCTCCATCCTCTTCTCCCCCTTCTCCAAACCATCTCTCCCCTCAACCCTAAACATTTTCCTTTTGAACCAGATCCAACTCGCCAAAAATAATCCATAAAAACGTGGTATAAAAATCCTCTGCCGTGTGCTACAATACAGGTGAGCACTTCTGCTACACAAATACTTTTATTTTCCCGTTAGGTCTTCGTTTTTTTTTTATCTTTTTTTTTTTTACTGTCCTTTTTGGAACCTTTAGTACAAAAGGCTGACGCAGGCCTGTGGGGGAGGGAGTTGCTCCATAAAACCAGAAGACACAAGACCATAAAGCCCACAAGGACCACAAGCAGCCCCCCCACCACACACAAACCCTACTTGTTAGTAAACTTTTCGCTTTTAAAAAAAAAACTGTATTTTTTTTTGTCTTTTTTTTTTTCTCCAAGGTTATCAATTCTAATTCTTTACTTTCATTTGAATACAAAACACATAAGTTTGCTATTATCTTTCGTGGCTCCCTGAGCTGAATTTTCTAAGCTTTCTTTGAAATCACTCCTCATTTGCTTCTGTCCGAAGACCAAGAAGGGCTTGCGTGGGCTTCCCCTTTTCTTCAAACATCCAAGCGCGGAAAAAATAAGGATAAATCCATAAATCCATCTCTTGAAAGCAAACCCCAAGGTGATTGTGTCGATGTCCCGTCAGTAGCTGAGGATCCGAGCGATTCCCCACCATCACTAACACACGACGCACGACAGGAGGAACAACTTTTCACCAGCGGACATCTCTGCTCAGCCTGGATGGCAAAGTCCCCACGGACACTTCCAGAGGGGGGGAAAAGGGGAAAAAAAAAACAAAAACCAAAAACAAAACCAAAAAACCCCCAGAATAAAATTGCCACCACCAAAACCATCAGTGGAATACAATTACAGCAGACAAAAATACACAACTAAGTGTACTGGGAGGGTCCCCCCTTCCCACGCTATCTCCTAGTCCAGTATTTACATTTTTCACAAGTCTTATGCGGGATGCACAAAAAAAAAGTCCCAATAAAAAAGGAGTCCTTTATAGTGCCACCAAAGCCAGACGGAAAGAACCGGGAAACAAAAAAAAAAAAAAAATTCAAAAGAAACCCCAAAGCCCTAAAACCAAATAAAAATCCATTTAGGGCTTCCATGTGTGCCAGAGTTGCAGATCTCCAAATAAATCCGAGTGTGGCGGATGCCGGGCGGAGCGACGCCAGGCGGAGCGGGGCCGGGGCCCGGAGCCTTTCCCTCGGCATTCCCAGAGCATTCCCGGAGCGTTTCCAAGCGCTGCCGGGGCCGGAGCTGCCGGCCCATCCATAAATCCCAGGGTTAGTAGATGACCTCGTAGACTGTGGCCTTCTTGTCCCCCGAGCCCGTGACGATGTACTTGTCATCGGCCGAGATGTCGCAGCTCAGCACGGACGAGGATTCCTTGGACTGCCAAAAGCAGGAGCAGGGACAATCCGTCACGATGGATTCCCAGGTTTTCCCAGCGACATCCAACACATCCCGCACCCCAACCAATCCAGCCACCCCAAGGGATCTCCCCTCTCTCCGGGGCGCTGTGGAAGGGGAATCCAGGCACAGCCCCCATCCCATGCCCTTCCCGAGGTCTCCCACCTGGAAGATGCTCGCTCCATAGGGCGTCCTCCAGGCGTTGAGCAGGTTGTCCTTCCCGGTGCTCACAAACCACTTCCCTGCACCGGGAAATCGGGATCAGGGGCTGAACGCTGCTACTGCCCCCGCCCCACCCCACATCACATCCCAGGCAATAAACATGGCCACAGCTGGGATGGGTTTATGGGAATAAAAAGCCACAACCGGGATGGGTTTATGGGAATAAACACCACCACAACAAGGATGGTTTTGTGGGAATAAACATAGCCACAAACAGGATGGTTTTATGGGGATAAACCCCAAATGCAGCAGCACCCATGGCCTGGATCCTGCTGGAGACATCCATGCTCAGCCCTCACCACTGCACTGAGCACTGCCCCTTCCTGCAGTTTGTGGGCATCCCTGMGTCCCATCCCTGGAAGTGTCCAGTGCYAGGGTGGACAGGGCTCRGAGCAACCTGGGATAGCAGGAGGTGTCCCAGAAGGGTGGAATGCRATGGGCTTTAAGGTCCCTTCCAACCCAAACTATTCCATGATCCCCATCCATAAATGAGAGGTCCCAGAGGGGGGGAATGGGATGACCTCCAAGGTCCTTTCCAACCCGAGCCATTCCAGGACCTCCCGCCCCCCACCCTGCTGTGCTCTGGGCAGGGCTGCTCACCGCAGTAGGCGAATTTGAGGGAGAGCACGCAGCTCTCGTGCAGGTGCAGCTGGTACTTGTCGGGCTTGGTGTGGTGCAGCACCTCCACGTTGCTGCTCTCCATGCCCACGGCCAGCCACTCGCCCGTCGGGCAGTACCCCAGCGAGAAGATCTGCAGTGGGAAGGGAGACACAGTGGGGTCAGCGGGAATTCACTGCCCACAGCCCCATGGGAGGGTGGGAGGAGAGACCTTCCAGGTGCCTTTTGACCCGACCATTCCGGGATCCATGGCACTGCTGGAAGCTGCTGGCCAGCCCCAAATGGACAGAGCCCGTTTGGAGAGGCACATCCAGGGGTTTGGATGGCTCCCAGCTCCATGGATACTGCCGCCYTTGCCCAGTGGACACAAGGCCCAGCCCTGCTCCTCTGGATCAGGCTCTGCTGGAGGAGGCACRATCCCAATCCTGATCCCAGCACCCAGAGAGCCCTGTTACTTCCCATGGGAAGAGATGCTCCCCTAATACTACAAGGATGGGGAAGTGCTGACAGAGGAACTGGAACAAGATCCAGAAAGCCCCACAGTTCCCACATTTCCAGGTCATGCCAAAACCAGCACGAACAGCCAAGCTCAGAGCTGACAGGGCCCTTTTCCCAGCAGCAGGCAGCACTCCCTGTTTTCCATGAAGGATCAATCCCCATCCCAGGCCATTCCCAGGGTTATACCTGGGAGGTGAAGTCGTGCTGCTGCAGCTGCCGCCCTTCCCGCAGGTCCCATGAACGMACTGTGTTGTCCAGGCCCCCTGTCCACAACTTGGTACCATCATGGGAGATGTCTATGCAGCTGGCCCCATCTGTGTGCCCTTGGAATTGCCTGGGAAGCAGAGAAAATGATGGAATTCTGCAAGGGGAGTGCTAGGAAACGTACTGAGTTGGGTTCAAGGTGCTCAGACTGTGTTTATGCAGCTCAGCCACACCAAACATTCCTGGAATCGCATCCAGGAGCATGGAGGAGCACCAGCCTGGCCAAGGATTGGGCTGGCTCAGGGATGACCACCAGGAAATAATGCAGTGTCACCAGAGGGTGCTCCTGACCCCATCCCAGTGAAGGTGGAGGATTCCCCATCCCTGGAATGCTCAAGGCYGGGTTGGACAGGGCTTGGAGMAACCTGGGATGGTGGAARGTGTCTGYRCCCAGGGAGAAGAGGAAAAGGGAGGTTGCTGGGGAGAAGGGGAAAGGGGAGGCAGTGGGGTGGGGGAAGAGGAAAGGAGATGTCAGCGAGGGAAGAAGTAAAGGGATGTGATGGGGCAAAGAGGAAAATAGATGATGACACAGGGGAAGAGACAAAGGGATACGAATCAAGGAAAGATAAGCTTTAAGGTCCTTCCCACCCTACCCCCATACCACAACACCCGAACACACCCAAACCCCACAGCAGGGCCCGGCTCGGGGCTCACCTGACGAGGGTCTGGTTGTGCAGGTCCCACACGGCGATGTTGCCRTCGCTGCAGCACGAGAAGCACACCTTGGCGTCGGGGCTGATGGCCAGCGCGTAGCACGCGGGAGCCGACGACGTCAGCTCGGCCTTGATGCGCGGCGTGGGCGACGCCAGGTCCCAGATGGTCAGGGTGCTGGCCTCGCCCCCCACRATCAGCGTGCGGCCATCCGGCAGCAGCTTGCACGAGCGGATGTAGTTATCCCTGTTCTGGGGACAGAAGGGACCGTGAGGGCAGGATGGGACAGGATGGGGGCGGTGGGGATGGAGAGATGGCGATGGAAGGGGGTACAGGGAAGAGAGGGCAACGGGGGGAAGAGCAAAAGGGATGGTGATGGAGAGGAGAGAGAAATTAATTGGAGGAAGAGGAATGAGATCACAAAGGGGAGAAGAGGAAAAAGAGGGAAATGGGGTGGGGAAAGGAAAAGGGGATGTTTGACAGGGAGAAGAGGAAAGAGAGAGCAATGAGGTGAGGAAAGAGGAAAGGGGATGTTGAGAGCAGGAAAAAGTGACATAAATGGGGGAAAGTGGGCAATGAGGTGGAGAAAGAGGAAAAGGGGATGTTGAAAGCAGGGAAAAGGGATGTTGATGGAGGGAAGAAGAAAAGGGAAATTTAAGGGGGAAAAATAGATATAATGGGAAAAAGTAACAGGGAAGAAGACAAAGACAATAATRCAGAACAGAGTTGGTAATGGGGAAGAAGAATGGGACATTGAAGGAAAGAGAAAAGGGAGAGCAATGGGGRAAAGAGGAAACAGATGGTAATGAGSAAGAGACGTTGATGTTAATGGTGATTAATGCCATCAGAGGRGGTGAAGGCAGGGACACAGCACTGGGGACAGCAGCAGCCCCAGCACAGCTCTCCCACCCATCCTGGACACCCCATGGCTCTCCTGCCCTCCCGGGAGGCTCCAGCCGCTCACCAAGCAGTCCAGCTGGGAGATGGGGCTCTTGCTGCCAGGCTGGCTGATGTCCCAGATCTTGACGCAGCCCTTGCCRCCGGTGTAGACGTGGCGGGTGGGGTTGCTGATGGTGACGGCGCACACCACCTCGCCRTGGCTCAGCGTGTTGATCTGCCGCGCGTGCCGCGGGATGCCGGGCCCCGCCAGCGCGTCGTGCGGGAACGGCACCGGCTGCATCTGCCCRTCGGCGCTCACGTGGAACGAGTAGGCCCTGCCGGGACAAAAGAAGGGCTCAGCTCTGGTGGCACAGCCCAGCTGCTACAGCGTGTCCCCAAGGCTGGCCGTGGGCAAAGCCCTCCCTCTTCCCCCTCCCGGCCCCTCCGACCCCAAAGAAATTCCAGCAGGGCTTACGGTTTCCCTCCGGGGATGGACGCCAGGCTGGAGGGCAGGCCTGGGGCTCGCATGGGTGGGTGTGGGTCAAACCCAACCTGTCAAGAGAAGCACGGACACGGGTGAGGCCGGACAGGGGTGGGAGCACCACACAGCCTCCCATCCCCGAGCCCCTGGGGACACCTCCTGCTCTTTCCCTGCTGCTCAAAGCTAATGGGCATTTCCCCCAGCAGGCAGGGCATCAGCCAAAGGAGCAGGGTCTGCAAGAACTGGGTGGGACCTGTTCCCTCTCCCCGTGTCATTCCCAAACCCCCAGGGATGGGAGCAGCCAGCCTGTGCCAGCACCCYGAGGTCAGAAACTCCAATCTCTGCTTTAATGGCAGTGTGTGACTCCTTGTCTCACTTTAGAACAGGAGTTCAGTGAGAGGAATGGGACAGGGGCCAAGGAACGGGATAAGGGGCTGAGTTATGGGATAAAGGATCGAGGAATGGAGTAGGGGGCTGAGGAAAGTAACAAGAGGCGAAGGAAGGGGAAGGAGAAACCCCAACCTAGTGGCACATACACGTCACCCCACAGAGAAGCATCTCCAYCCCCAGCCCCTTCAATCCAAGCCGCAGCCGGCTTTGAGGAGAAGGAGCCCCAACCTCCCAGTCTCCCAAACCCCCCTGCCCATCCCCCCAGTGAGAAGGAGCTAAAAGTGCTACGTACAGCTCCAAAGCTCACCATTGGCGACCGGCCGTAGGCAGCGGCGGCAGCGGCGGCTGCGCTCATCTGCGGAGGGAGGTTGTGCAGCCCCGCGTAGGCACCGGGGCTCGTCAGCGACCCGTTCATCTCGTGGTGCCCCATCATGGCAAAGGGCGCCGCGTACGAGCCCGCGATGGAGATGGGCGTGCGCAGGGCCGAGGCTGCAGAGAGTGGGACAGCGTCAGGGATGGGACATAGACAGGGATGGGGCGCGGGCAGGGATGGGGATGGGACATGGACATGATCAGGGATGGGATATGGACATGATCAGGGATGGGACACGGTCAGGGATGGGACATGGACATGGTCGGGACAGAACACAGTCAGGGATGGGACATGGACACGGTAAGGGATGGGACGTGGTCAGGAATGAGACGCAGTCAGGGATGGGACATGGACACAGTGGGGGACGGGACACTCTCAGAGATGGGACACGGACACAGTCAGGGATGGGATATGGACACGGTTGGGGACGGGACACAGTCAGGGATGGGACATGGACACAGTCAGGGATGGGAAGCGGTCAGGGATGGGACATGGACACAATTGGGGACGGGACACCATCAAGGACGGGACATGGACACAGGGATGGGATGCCATTGGGGCATGGGGCACAACAGYAGCCACGGAAACACCCAATGGTCAACAGGCAAAATCCAACAGCCAACATCCAATATCCAACACAAAATCCAACAACTAGCATCCTACACCCAACCCTCAACAGCAAAATCCAACACCCAACTCCCAGGAATCCAACCCCTGGGCCATCCCTGCCTTGTCCCCAGCCCAGAGCCCTGYGTGCYGTGTCCATGACACGGYGGTGACACTGGTACCCACCCAGGGGGTCCATGCCGCTGGGTTTGCCGGGCATGGGCCGCAGCCCYGGGGTGCTGCTGGTGCCCGGGGTGGGAGCGTCRTTCCGGGGCGTCGGAGTGTTGGACTTGAGGCCGGGCGTGGAGGATTTGTCGTTCTGGGGGGAGAAGGGATGGAAAACCAGGGATGAGCTCCAGCTCATGGGGGACCCACAGCCCCCATGACTCTGCAGAATGGACATACGTGGCCCAGGTCCTTGGTCTTGGAGGAGGGAGTGCTGCTGGAAGAGGCCACCGAGGCCGGGCTGTTGGGAGCGTCCCCCTTCTTCAGCCCACGGGCTTTGTCCAGGCCATTCTCCGGGGGGGAGTGGGCCGGGCTCACTCGGGGGGTAGCGGGGTCCTGTGGGACAGGAAAAGCGTTGGAATTCTCGCAGTTGGAAGGGCTTCCTCTGGCCTCTCCTTCAGGCTGGTGTTGGGAAGCCCCTGAAGAACCCCTTTGTACATCCCAAACCCACACTGCGTTGTGGGCAGAGCCACCCAAATGTCCCCAGGGCTCACCTCGTTAGAGACGTCAACCACCAGGTCATCGCTCTTGTCACCATCGCTGTCCTGGAACACAAAACGAGTCACACYCTGCAGAGAGCTCCAAAAACCAGGGTGGGGACAGCCCCCCGAGGAGCCAAACCACCCCAGCAGTAGCAGAATACTCCAGCTGGAGATCAGGGACAATTCTTTCACGGAAAAGGTGGTCAAGGAGCCACCATGCTCCTGCAGAGATTTAACAACACGGGGAGGTGGCACTCGGGGACATGGATTAGGGTGGCCTTGGCAGTGCTGGGGACTCCACAATCTCAAAGGGTTTTTCCTGCCTGAATGATCCCATGGTCTGACCTAGATCACCCACACCTCACTGGAAATTACCCAAATCCCGCTTTCTTCCCCTGCAAATCCTGCCCCAAGGCATCCCCATGGCCAGCACAGCCCATCCCTGCTGCTCACATATCGGCTCATGCTGTCCTTCTCCTCCGCTTTCCGCTTCTTGGAGTCGATGCTGTAATCTGTGGAGCTCCGGTGCTTCTCRCTGGCCCGCAGGCTCTCCGAGGGGGACACGGAATTATTCTGTGGAGACAGGAGCAGCTTTTCAGCAGGAACAGAAGGAAATGGGACTCCCYGAGCAGCAGGTCCCAAGGGGACACGTACAGCCCCATCCCAGCAGCAGGATGAGATCCCACAGCTCCCATGGAGCAGGGATGGGATCCAGCATCAGCCTCACTGGGAACCCCGGGAATGCTGTGAGAACGCCCAAGGACACCTGAGCTCCAATCCCAGGGAAAATGCAGGAGGGGGCTGTTCCTAAAGGGAAATCCTGGAGGAAGATGTGGGAAATGACAGCGGCTCCCACTGGGAGCTCCCTGGAACCATTCCCAGCTCCCTGATCCGCTGCTCCCATGGGAGCACTGCTCAGGAGTGGCACCTCGGGAGCCTATGGATAAGGCAGCCYCATCCAGAGGGAGCAAAGGAACAGCTGAGCCCAGCCCCAGCACCACAAAGGACATCCACGAAATGTCCCGGAAAACCCGTGTGACTGGGAGTGACAGGGCCCAGGGGGAATTCTGCACTTGCTTCAGGCAGCACAGCCAGGAAATGCTGGAAGCAAACATGGCAGCACAACGGGGAGGCTGCCCAGCCCTGCATCACCCTCAGCACAGCCCTGATCCTACATCAGAACAGCCCCGATTCCACATTGAATCGCCTCAGCACAGCCTTGATCCCACATCAGCACAGTTCCAATCCCACATTCCCCCTCAGCACAACCCTGATCCCACATTTCCCCTGGCACAGCCTGTTCCCACCCCGCACATTCCCTCTCCCCTCCACCCCTGGCAGCAGCTGGGGCGATCCCGGTTCCCTGGTGCGATCCCAGCCCCCCGTGCTGCAGCCCCACGGTTCCTGAGCTGTGCCCGCCTTTCCTCTCCTTTAGAAAGGCAGAACTAAAGCTGTTCATGTTCCTCCTCGCTCCCCACTAAGCAGCTTTGGATAACACGGAGCTCTTTCTTCCCAGGCAGTCATCCTGGAAACCCTCGCAGCTTCCCGAGAATCGTGTCAGGCATTTAGAGGCATCGATCCGTTCAGCCCTGCTCCTGGCCTGCTGCCAAGCAACTCAATATTTTTTATTGCACAGACAGAGGCCAGGGAGAACGGGAATGCCGAATGCTGCCGATGGCCATGTTAGAGCTCCACGGGGAATATCCCAGCTCACTGCTCATGGATTGGGAAAACGGGAATGCCAAACAGCCCATTCCAGGAGCAGGGCAGCCCCTACCTGGCTCCTCCCACCCTCAGTATCCTCTCCATCCCTGCTCCCAGGGAATCCATCACCCAGGAGCAGCTTCCAAGCCCTCCAAAATATAGGGATTTCCCCAGTTAGGATTGCTCGAGCCTCCAAGTCCTGCCTGACATGGAGTAAGAACCGAACCCATCCCAGATCAGATGACCCCAGATAACTGGAGAGCGATTGGGGATGAACCAGCCTTCCTAATCACCAASAGATTCAGGATCTGACTATGCTCATTCAGCAAAAACAACAGAATTTCCTGAGGCTCTGCCACAAACAAAGGGATTTAAACCCAATTCCCAAAGCACCACCGAGAAGGTGACTCCACTCAGCCTGGCACAGCTCTCCCAGGCAGGATGAGGGATTTCAATGCCTGGTTCATTATTTAACAAGGGCTGTGCCAGGGCAGCCCCAGCRCTCCCAGCTACCAGGTGGGTTTGAAAGGATCAATAAAACTCGGAGCAGAAGGAAGGAATGGCACTTACTGCACTTGAGTCTCGCTCTTCAGAGGATGCCAGGACACAGGGGAGGGCACAGCCAAAATGAAGAACAGGAAAATAAAGCAAGTTAGGGTAAGCCTGAAACCAGAAAAATGAACCCAGAACCTCCTCACGCTGTTAGCTCAAACCATTAAACTCAAGCCCTGTCTGGGCTCTCTCTGGCTTTAAAATCTCCCTCCATCCATCTCTCCCACCCAATTCCCACCCCTCCCTTTTGGTCCAAGTGATTTATCTGGCAAAACACAGCTGGAAGTGCCCTGAATCCATAGGGAATGCCAGCAGCCTTGGCTATCTGTCCCCAAAGTCACAACACCCGACAGTTCTGGGGGCACAGATCCACATCCAAGACGTGGTTCAGCCATTAATCTGTACCCAAACAGCCCCAAATTCCCTGGAATCTCTGGCAATCAGAATCTGAGCAGGAAAAGGAATGTCACTGGACAATTGCTATGAGGAGTTTTGTCTCATTGCTGCTTTTTCCACCCAAATCCCCCAGCAGAGACCAACAACCTGGAAAGGCTGTGGGAACCTGCYCTGCCAATGGGAATGTGAAAGGGAAATATCCCAAATCCTCCYGTCTTTGTGGACAGTGGATCTGCCAGGACAAACCTGAACGCTGCTGCTTAACACCTCAGATCCRCTGATTTTCTAGAAATGGTCTGGTCCCCAATAATGAGGAAAATCAAATTTCCTKGTGCACAGAACAGGATCCCTGGCCATAGGAAGGCTCTGATGGTGATGGAGTTGAAGAGGAAGAGAAGGAAGAGGATGAAGGGTGCTTTCCCATTAAGCCACGGCTGAACAGGGACACGGGAATTGCAGTCAGGCTCCTCCAGAGGCTGAGCATCATTTAGGGAATCCTGCATCCCTAAAAGKGCAATCTCACGATCTGAATGCAGCTGATCCAAGGGATAGGGTGGTGGGAAATTACTCGTGACAGGATCAGGGCACTCCCCCAAAATCAGACGGACCTGAGCTGCTGCAGCAATTCCAGAGGAGGCCAYGGAGCTGCTCCAAGGGCTGGAGCCAGGCTGGAGAAGGGAAGGAACCAGGGAGAGCTCAGAGCCCCTTGCAAGGCCTAAAGGGGCTCCTGGAGAGCTGGAGAGAGACTGGGGACAAGGGATGGAGGGACAGGACACAGGGAACMRCTKCCCATTGGAAAAGTGGAGAYTTAGATGTGAYAYTGCRAAGGAATTTCTGGCTGTRAGGGTGTGGAGGGAATRGCACAAAGTGCCCCTGGATCCCTGRAAGTGTCCAAGGCCCGGCTGGAGCTCCTTGGGACATTGGAAGGTCTCCCTGTCCCGGATAACGTTTCTCTCCCTCCCAGCCGAGCCACCCCAGGATTCTGACACTCCCAGCAGCAGTGGCTGCCAGAAGCAGCAGCCCCTCTCACCTCTGTGGTCCAGRTCGTGGTGGTTCTTCTCGTCCTTGACGGCCAGGTGGGCCTGGCTGCCCAGGGCGCCGAGCGCCAGCAGCCCCGAGCTGGTGCCGGTGACCGGCGGGATYCCGGGCGGCTGGAGCCCCGAGGGGTGCGGCGGCAGCTGGACCGGGGGCCCGTGGGCGGCGTGCGAGAGGTGCTGGGCCTGGAGCTGCTGCTGCTGCAATGAAAGCACCAGTGAGCCGGGGAGGGCCCGGGAGCGGCGCCACCGGSGAGGGCATTCCCGGGGTCCCGCCGGGGTGCTCCCGGGAGCGGCCCCGCTGCATGGATGCCTGGAAGGAAAAGCCCCGTTAGTAGGATTGGGGTGCCCAGGACATGGCCCAGGGTGGGAGCACCTGCAGCACGCAGCCCCGGGATAATCCGTCGTTCCCAGAACGCTCATCCCTGCAGACATAGTTAGGCTTTTCCAGCAGGAAAAGGAAAAAAAAAAAAAATCCAGGAATCCCACCCAGGAGGCAGAGAGGCTCCATGGCTGGAGGGCAGCTGCTAAACTAGGCAGAGAGAGAAAATTCCAGCACCCAGGATCCTCCCAGACACCACAGCACGGGGAGGTTCTGCTCATTTGCTCAGGAGCAGCTTCCAGAAAATTCCACACAGCATCTTGGTCCCATCACAGCATCCCGCTGCTCCCAACCCCTTCCAGCATCACCAGRTCCCCCTGGCACTGGATAAATCCTGCAGGGATTCTGTATTACCACCACGGGGCTGGGCATGACCCCCCACATTCCCTGGAGCTGCGGCCCAGCTGCTCCCAGGGTTTTTCAGGAGTGAATCCCAGTCATYCCAGCCTTCACCCAGCCATGGGGACTCACTGCCTGCTCCGGCTCAGCTGGAAAAAGCCAAACTGCTACTCTGGGGAGGGGAAGGGAACACCAGGCACATTCCCTATTGCAAACACAACATTGGAAGGAAACTTGCTGGAATCCAAGGACCCACTTGCAAGAGGTCCCACGCTACCCCTGGTCCAGCCAGGAGGGTGTTGGAGCTGGTGTTCCTGCCTGGGACCCTCCTGCCTGCAGCCACAGCCCATCCAGCAGCAACCCTGCAGCTTCCAGGGAAGTCTGGGAACACCAACGAGAATCACAGGCTGGGGACACCAGGAATGGGGGGACACGTGGGCTGCAGTAGAGTCTCCCAGGCCCCTCTGACCAGCTGGGATGAGTATTTCTCCTCAGGCACTTCAGGAGTCCCACGGCCCAGCCCAGTGGACACTCCAGGAATTCACCAAAAACATCCCCAGGTACGGAGGGCTCTAGTTGTGTTTCCAACATTCCATCAGGGAAATTTCCAGCACATTTCCAGGGCTGCAAAAGATGCATCCATGTGTCCCTGGATCCTGGGAATGTCCCAGGCCAGGTTATGGGGACTGGAGCACCCTGGGACAGTGGACACTGTCCAGAGATGGCAGAGGTGGCACTGGATGAGCTTTCAGATCCTTTCCAAACCCAACCATTCCAGGATTCCATGGTAAGTTTTCCCACAGCAAGCTGAAGTTTTGGGGGAGAAGCTGTGGCCCATTCCCAATGGAAGGAGCTGTTCCAGGCAGCAGAAGGGGCAATGTCCTGTCATCCACATCCCATTCCATGGACACAGCAGGACAGAGCAGCCCCTGGCTGGGTGAGTCCCCCACCCCTTCCAGAGCTGCTTTCTGCTCCTCAGGGGATGGAGAGRTAAATCCCTGTCCAGGATGAGATTCCAGGTGGGAGCCAAAGGCCGGAGCTGCAGTACCAGGTAGAGGAATCCATTAAAGCAGCTCCTTCCAGGCAGCTCCAACATCCCACTGGAGCAGAAGCCACATGGAGGAGGCCATCAGGCCTCTGCTGCAGGAAAATCATAAATCCCTGTGCCCTCAACAAGCAGGARCTGGTTCTGCCAGGCAGATGGGAATCCTCCGGATGGACATTCCAGGAGTGTCCCCAAACYGGGACACAGAGGAGAGCCGGGGGTGAGGGGCAAAAGGTGATCCCGCAGCAGTTCTGGCCACACACAGGGCCAGGGTCAATGCTCGGCACCACAACCAGGAGAACAGATCCTTGGTTCTTCCCAAAAATCACGGAACAGATCCTTGGCTCCTTCCAAAAAGCAGGGAACAGATCCTTGGCTCTCCCCAAAATCAGCGAGGTTCTTTCCAATCCCAATTCCACTTGATTTCCACCCATTTGAGGGAGAGGCAGGGCTGACCACTGCAGCAGAGCATCATCCCAGAGAATGRCCTCAGGTGGTTTTCCAGCACTTCCAACCATTCCCACATCCCTCTCCTGGAAGCTCTCCAGGGGTGCCCATCCCTGGAATATAACCAGATCCAATGTTTTATCCTCTGCAATCTCCAACTCCCAGAAACATCTGCACGGTGTAACTCATCCCGAAGTTTTCCACCCAAAAAAAGGGAACTCGTGGAACAGCAGCACTCCATTCCTGGGATGCTGATGGGAAATCCAGCCCTGGAACAGCCCCAGGGTCAGCACAACCCCACCACGAGCGAGGCAGCAGCAGCCAGAGGAGAAGAATCAGCACCAGCAGAAAACTGGGATTTCTTCCTGGTTTTTAGGCTGTCAACAAATATATCCATGCAAGGGCTCAGTGAGCTGCGAGAACAGCCCCTCTTGGGATGTGGGAGCCAAGGCCAGGACACAAAACCCCTCGTGGTCCAGAACAGCATCTCCAGGTGGCTTTGGTTTTCCTTCCTCTGGCAGCAGGAAGCGGAGAGCAGGATCCATCGGGATGTCCTGGAGCCTCATCCCTGTGTCCCCCTGCATCCAGCAGCACAGCTTCAAGGGCAGCCAGGATCCCACATCTGGGCTGCAAAGCTCCATCCGTCTCCCAGCTGGATCATTCCCATGGCAAGGAGTAGAGGATGAGCCCAGAGCTCATCCCGGRGCTGTGCTGGAGAATTCCCAGGTTCTCGCTCCTCCATCCTTCCCATCACTCCRTGYGTTGGTGCCAGCCCACAGAGCAGCYACTGCACATCCCACGGGAACAACATCCTGGAGACTCCATGGAGGGGACAAACCCCACCCAGCACTCTGTGGCACAGAGATCCTGCTTGCTCCGASTGTCCCCTGCTGGAAAGCCCCTTCCATCCTTTATTCCAGCCCTGGAAAAGGCTGTGTGTAACAAACAACATTGGGGCAGGGTCTGCTGCAACACTCCAGAGATGGGGAGGCTCTCTGGGAACCCCAAATCCCCCTGCACAGGGATCACAGTGTTGGTGGACAGGTGACACAGACAGAGCACAAGGATTTGGAGCAGCATTTCAGGAGCAGGGACCTTCCTGGAGCGACAGAGGCCATCCTCAAGCCCAGATCCCCCAGGATGCTGCTCTGGGGCTCCCAGTATCTGCTCCAGCGGCCTCCTCTGCTGGCAGGACCCCACCAGGGAGCAGTGTCCCGAAATTCCAGGAGACTGCAATCGCAGCTCAGGGCGATCCCAGCAGTGGCCACGGAGCCGTTTGCTCCTGGGGTCCCTCTGCAGCACTGGGCCGGGATGGGGAGATGGGAAGAGGCTCCAGATTTGGGAAGGAGGCTGGCAAGGAATATCTGCCGCTGGAGTGGCTTTAATTGGATTATGTCCATCACGCTCCGTGCCTTTGTTCCTGATTTAATGGTTCAGCACTTCAGTTCAGCGCCGGCGCTACATTTAGTGACGGAGTTTAATCATTTCCAGGGAAATCATTTCCAGGGCTACAACCGAATCAAGGCTCCGTTTCAGCCCAGCCTCGAGCGCGGGAGCTGYGAGACAATGGCCCAGATGCATAAAATTAACAGCTCTTGACCTCAAAAGGGGCATAAAAGGAGCTTTGCACCATTTTGGGGGGGGTTTGGGTGTTGCAGCAGTGGCACCAGGCTGTGGGGCAGGCTGGGGGCAGCAGAGCCACCGAGGGCTGGATCCCCAGGGACAGCGAACACGCCCCAGCGCTGGGAAAGCCAACCCAGGGATGTGTCCACGTCAGCAACCCTACAGAAACAACCTGCTGAGGGCAGGCAAAGCACCAAATGCGCTAGGTTTGGAGTATCAGTGGGGACAAGCCTGGAACCATCTCTACCAGCCATGGAAGGCCATGGAATCACCATCAWCACCCTCCTGCCAGCAGCATCTCTGCAGCAAGAACCTGCAGTGTGCACAGAGTGGAGAGAAAAACACCAAACCCGCTGGATTTTCCACTTTGGGAAGAACAGGAGCAGGTGCATGAGCACAGACCTATCCCCCAAAGCAGCTCCAGGATGAGTCTGCCCTCCTGGACAAGCCCTGGAATCACTGATCCTTCCCTGCCAAGCCACCCCAGGAGGAGATGCCCRTCACTCCCGCTGGAAGCTCATCAGGAAAACGATTAAATGGCTGGGCTGGCTGCTTAATGACAGTGGGGTCTCGCTGGGATCCAGGGAAGCAATTACCTCGGGAATGGGGGTCACGGGCCTCGCTCATCCACCTTAATTGAATTCCAATATCTGCCTCCAGCAGCTCATCCAGCCTCCAGCAGCTCCCCATCCCTCCTCCCACCCCACCTGGAATGGGTGAGGAGCATGGCAGGGTGCAGGGTCACCCCAAAACTCAGCTCCCACTCCTGGGGTGCTGCCAATGTGCCACCGACCCCACCATGAGGGATTCAGCTGCTTCCAAGGCTTTCCTCATTCCCAAGGATTGAAGGACCCCAGAGCACAATTCCACAGTTGGTGATACCCATAAAACTCAGGAAAATGGATAGAAGAGCAAGTTAAACGCAGAGAATTATAAAGATCCTYGAAGAAGTGCAAACAGTTATTWAAAAAAAYAAAATAAAATTATAAATGAATATTTCCTTGGAAGCAAAGCCAGAAGAGTTCTGGAGCCAGGAGATGGAGTGGGAACCCCGATGTCCTGGGGTTTGCTGCAGGACTGAGACAGTGACAGCAATTAAAGAAACAATTAAAATCATTAATTTTCAACCAGAACCCCTCAATCTGTGCGGGAAAGGGTCAATGCATGGAACAACAACTCCGCCAAGGGCACGGCACATTCCACACCACCAGCCCGGCAGAGACGAGCCTGGCCTCAGGGGCTCCAGAGGGCTCCCATCCCAAATCTCCCCAGCCCCATGGGAACATCCAATTGGAATCCTGGAGCTGCCAGGGAGGCAGCAGCTCCCAGCCCTGTCCTGCTGAGGGCTGGACTGGGGCAGTTTTGGGGTTTGGCACAGCCAGGGGCTGCAGGGTTGAGGGAATTTGGGGGTTTGGCACAGCCAGGGGCTGCGGGGTTGGGGCAATTTTGGTGCTTTGGGATGGCCAGGACCTGGGAGCCGCCCTCCCTGCCCTCCTGAGCGCAGGGTCGCCTCTGGATATGGTAAATGATAGGAATAAAAGGGGAATACACACGGTGAGAGGCAGATTGGGAAGTCCACGTACCCCGATGATAGCATTCAACTCCGTCATTGTCACTTGCTTGGCACGTTCAACAGCCTGGGCCACCTGCTGTTGGTGCTGTGGGGACAGAGGAGCCTGATCAGCCCCAGCCCAGGGGCAGGACCCTCCCTCCCATCCCCCCCTCTCTTGGGCCAAATTGGGTGCAGCAGCCCAGGGACACCTCCCACCTCTGTGGGGTGYGGGAGCAGCTCTTGGGGAAAAGGGGGAGCCCTTCACAGCCCTTTGGGCTCAGTGCAGTCCCCCCAGCTGAACAGAGACCCCAAAAGGCCCAGCCCTGCCCATCACAAGGGATTTCCTGCACACAGGCAGGACCCAAATCCCCTCTGTTCCCCCCTTGCAACACCCAAGGGGAATCCCCAGGGGAAGCTGCATCCCCTCCACCAGGGCATGACAGTGTCCTTACCTCTTGTGACAGAAAAGGCATGATCTGGGCTAAAATCGTGTTCAGTCTTTTAGCAATTTCTGTCTGGAAAAAGGGAAGAGGAAACAGCAACAGTCAGCAGCCAGCAGGCTCTCGGGGATGCCACCAGGCTTCCGGGCAGCAGCACTGCGTGTGCCCTGCCTGTCCCTTCTCCAAATCCCCTCCCTGTCCCTTCCCAAAATCCCCTCCTTGCCCCCTGCCTGTCCCTACCCACAAATCCTCCCCTGGGCATCCCCTCCCTGTCCCCTTCCCAGCCCTGCTGTGGAAGCAGCTGCTCCTGGCAGAGGCAGTGGAAGCTCCCTTGAGCTCTCCAGCACAGGGACACATCGCTGCCTCTCTGGGACACTTCCATCCCCTTCCCACCCCGGGATGAGTGTCCCAGACCAGCCCTGGCAGGGTCCCACSAGCCTGGGCTTCCCCAGCTTCAGGAGAGCACAGCCAGGCCCAGCACTCTCCATGCTCTCTGGAGAGGCTGCGTCCCAGGAAATCCAGGGTTTGGGGGCCTCCTGTTACCCCCTGCTCCAAGGACTGGGTGGGTGTTTTGTTTTTCCAAAAGAAACCCTGGAAAAGGCCCCTGCCCTGTGCAGTGAGCTGAGAGTCCACAAGGGCTGGGGTCTGCTCTTCTCCCTCCCCACAGAAGTGGTGGGATTCCCTTTGCCATCGTTATCCTACTCTGGAAACATCCTGGATCCACCAACACCTGCCAGCTCYGCTCTGTGGGAGCTTAACACCCAACTCTGAGAATAATTCCCAGCAGGAATGACCCCGGGGAGGTGCCATCCCTCCCATCCCAGGGATGCTCCTGGCAGGATGGCCATGTCCCAGCTCCCTGGCCATGTCCCGGCTCCCGGGGGTTAATTCCAGCTGCTCCTGGCTGAGGCAGCTGTGAAAACAGCTCCAGCTCCAAGTCAAACACGGCCGAGCGGCCGCACAGATCCCGCGCCACAACAATGGCCGGAGCCGAGYGCTGGCACGGAATCAAACGGCCCGAAATTCCTTCCGCCAGCCCGGCAGCTCGTTATCAATAACCCCCGTGATTACCCRGGAGAGCTCCGGCCTCCTGCTGGCCAAGAGTCTCTTCCCAGGACAGCCACAGCCACTCCCCCACTCCAACAGTCCCCGAAATCGCCCCAAATCCATCCTGAACCCACAGCAAATGGGGGTCACTCCAGTCTCCCTGCTGGCAAGAAGCATCTTCCCAGGACAGCCAAGCCCTACTCACAGAGCCCCCAAATCACCCCAAATCCACYCCAAAGCTTCACCCTCCCGATCCCAAAGCACAGTTTCCCGGAACAGCTCCTCAGATCCCACAGCACCTTTGGGTTTTAGGCTCCACCTACTCTCAGGCACCACAAGGAAAATTCCTGAAATACCCTAATTTGGAAGAAAAACCCCAACAGACACTCAGCCTTGCTGTAAGGAGCTTGGGGATGGCTGGGACACAACCCAACAGGGACAACCAACATTCCCAAGGTCACCATTAGCAGGGAGACACCAGAAAAATCCTGATCTGTCCCAGCCTGGAGCCACCCCCATGGAGGGGACCACCCTACAGTCCCCAGAGCTCCAGGTCCTGCTCCCTGTGGGAGTCGCTGCTCCCGGCTGCAAAGCCCTGGGAATATTCCTGGCCATCCTCCTTCTCCAGMAGCCTCCCCGGTGATTGGGTTACACCTGCTGCTTTTCTTAGCAATTCCAGAGGCTGGGAACGTGCTGGCATGGTGTGCCAAGGCAGGGACGGCTGGAAGTGACCATGGCTTGGACTCAGGTACCCTGGCCAAGGCACCGGGATCGTCACGGCCCTGAGTGTGAGGATGCGCGGATCAGCTGGGGATCGKGGAGTGCTGGGATGGYTYGGCTGGAAGGGGCTCTGAAGCTCATTCTGTTCCACTCCCTGCACCCCCGATGAGCCCAGGCTGTTCCAGCCCGGCTTTGGACACTTCCAGGAATGGGAACAGGGCAGTGACAGCACCCAGTGTCCCACCRCCCTCACAGGGAAGGRTTCTTCCCCAYATCCCAGCCATCCCTGCCCTCTGGCCTCTTTCCTGTGTCCTGTCACTGCAGTGACACTTTGCCACCGTGCCCCCTGTGCCCAGGATCTGGCTCTGGCCAGCACAAGGCTTTCACCACCCTCAGCACTCACACAACACCCTCAGCTCCTCTGCTTCCACGGATCCCAGCTGAAAGCTCCAAGTGCCAAATCTGAGCCCARCCCCGGCGCCATGGCCGGAGCAGCTGGRCTGGCACCAYRAGTGCCACCAGTGGTGCCACCGCCGTGCCCAGCAACAGGGAAAGCTCCTTCCAGGCTTTTTGGYACTAGCACTTCGATCAGATTATATTTAGCTCCAGCTGCATGAAATATTTATTTCTTCAGCTCCAGCCTTTGGATTCGGGATGCAGCAGGCTCCAGGAGCCCTGCCCTGCCAGCTCCCAGGTTCTAGAACAAATCCAAGCCAGACTGGAGGGGAAAATACCAGCTTCCCTGGGCTGCATCCCGGGATAAACACAGCACCCAGCCAGGTTGATCCACGGAGCAGGAAGAGAAGGAGCAGGGTTTTCCCTGACACCCTGCCCTGACCAACAACATACATGAGGTCTCCACCTTTAAATACACAGTTTCCAACCCAGATGTGAAGCCCAACTCCCCATTCCACAAGGAAAGAGACTTCCCACGTGGGATCGAGCGAGCACAGAGATATTGGATGTCCTAAATATTATGTTTACAACCGTGAGGTTTCCTGTGAACAYGAGATTCAATCGTCTTTAAATATTTGCTCACTTTCCCTTTTCCCACTCCTCGACACATTAAGCTCCAGTGGTCCCCATTAAAAGTTTGATGGGGRGGGAAAGGGATCCTCCAGAACGCAGGGAACAGGGGAGGGCCCTGTGCCCGACACCTTCCCCATCACAGGGCTCATTCATCACCTTGCCCAGAGCCCCCGAGCCCCCCCGAGCTGCTCCTGCCAAGGAAAACCTCCATTCCCACCGTGGGTTGCCATGGCAATCCCAGGCTCCACATCCCCTTCCGCTGCCCTGCATCTTCCCCAGACTAGGGCAGGTAAAACACCGGGAGCAGGGCACCGAGAGGCTCCCACCCTCCCCAACACCTCGGGAGCCAATGTGGGCCACTCCCCCCAGCACAGGGATGCTGCTGCTCGTTAAAAAGGGCAAGGAGTCAGGAGAATCTGAAATCCCAGCTAATCCCCCCTCACTCYATGCCCCTGCCAAGAATCTGCCCCGGACCTCGCGGGCTGGGGTTTCAGTGGCGGGGAGGGCGAAACCAGAGAAACCATTTGCACCGGTGATAAATCAACAGTGGCACCGCTTGGCCCCGGCTGAGGCTGCTGTCACCTGCTCTTCAAACGGCCGGAGCCACCGGCAGCATCCGAAGCACTTGGGGACACAGGAGCTGCTCCTGGCAGCCACAGGGAGCTGGGATGGACTGGGAGTGGTGGCGGCTCGGTGTTAAATAGCTGGGGCTGGCTGTGCCCAGCAGCTCCAGCTCCCTGCGCTCCCAGCTTCCCATCCACCTGGATGGGGCATAGGGGATGGGAAAATATCCCCTGGATGGGGCATAGGGGATGGGAAAATATCCCCTGGATGTCACTCATGGGAGAGACAGGGCAGCCTTAGAAATGACCCAAAACGTGGGAGTGCAGAGCTCCGGGCTGGGGACACCCCCAGACAGGGCTCTGGGCAATGGGGATGCTCCTTGTGCCAAAATGTCTCAGCTTTGGAGGCCTGTGAGGCAAATGAAGCTGCAGGGATGTCCCAGCCCCGGGGTGACACCTTCAGGCTGATCCCAGCATCCCCTCAGGGCACAGGGCAGGACATAGACCTCTCCTGGGCTCCCTGTGCCTGGGAAGACGAGCTGCCTGCAGGGTGCAGTCCCACAGGCCTCACTCTGCAAGGAGCACCACAAAAATGCCCAGAGAACACCCAAAAAACCTGCACAAACTACCCCAAAAACCCTGCACAGGACCCCAAAACACACTGCAACACATAACAGCCCCTCAATTTGCCCCCAAAACAGGACAGATCCTCCACAGCCCTCCCCGGGGAAGGGAATCCCACCAGACCATGGCAGGTGGAACCCCAGAACAGGTTTTGGGCCACACCAGCCCCAAGTCCAGCCTGGCCTTGCTCCTGGATTTATGCAGCGGGATGAAAGATGGAGAGAAGATGCTGAACACAGAACACTGCCTTTCCTCCTCCTGGAAACAYCCCAGAACATCTATATTTCTGTCCTTAAATCCAGGAACCTCCAGAGGTGCAAGGGAACATGAAGATTACCCAAGGCCCTGCACAGACACCCCACCAATCCCAACCTGTGCCTCAGAGYATTGCCCAAACACTCCTGAAGCTCTSRCAGCCCTGGGAACCTGACCATTCCCTGGAAAAGTGCAATTACACATGTACAGATAGACATGGCTTCCCTGGACCCCTGGAAATGGGGCTGGTGGGGCTGCCAGAGGTGCCCCTTCATAGCATACAGGAACACGGCACCATCTCAACCCCACACCTCCCACTCGCAAGGCCCCAGCTYCCTCCTGGGCTCCAAACCCCAGCTCCCTCCACGAACACCCCTCGAGGGTTTTCTGCAGGGTCTGGACCCCCTGATCCCCTGCAGGTTCTCCTGATCCACCCCTGCATGGTGCAGAGCCCCCCAACGCCCCCTCCCCGGAGGAGGAGGGGCAGTAAATCACACGAGGCGTGAAGCACCAGCAGCATTTGTTGAAACCAGGATATTGTCTCTGTAAGCACATGAAAATCAGCCCCTTGAGCAGTGTGGTTCTCACTCGGGCGCACAATTATGGTACTTTCAGCTGTCTACCACTATTTCAAGTGCTCTCTCCAAGCGGGCTGTCAATGGCATGTTGAAAGCTATTTGTGGCTGCTATCATTATTAGCAAAGTGGAGAGCCTGGCTGATGAGAATTAAATTCAGGGCGGGGGTGTGCAGGGGCAGGACACAACCCCTCATTAAGGAATTACCACCAGCAACGGGGTAAAGCTCACAGAGACTCCCAAAACGCAGCCGGGACCCCCCAAATCCACCCAGTGCTTCCCACACCATGAGGGAAAGCCAGAATTCCCTGCTGCCTCGGCAGTCCTGAGAGCACAGCTAACAAATTGCTCGGCTTCTGAAGTATTTAGCAAATTATTACCTGGCACTCCTTGCTAACGAGCACGACAGAAAGGATATTGTGTTCCTAGAATATTCTAGAAACACACAYACACACAAAAAAGAAGCTGCCTCTCTTCCCTGGAAGTGTTGGGGGGTTTAGGTTTGTTCCAAGCATTAAGCAGGAAAACAAGAAGCGCTTCTGTGCRGCGTTCTCAGCCACAACAAGAAATCAAAGGCAGCACAAAGGTTCTGTCCTCCGAGGTGTCCCGTTTCCCCACGCAAAATGAGTTTTCCTTTTGGAATGGTTATTGCTCTCAGCGATTATCCACGGAGATCTGCACAGAAACAATGCACAGCCGACAGGGGAAGCAAAGTTTCTTTTGGAAAAATCAATTAACCCGAACAAAAAAAAAAAAAGTTTTGCCGGGGTTTCAAAAGAAAACTCCTGATTGGAGTCGGGTTTAGGAAAGCTGAGCCCGGGGAAGGAGTCGAGTTCAGCAGGAAGACTGATGTAAGGAGCGATTCACTGCAACCGACTGGGGAGTCACTTCCTAAATATTTCCTTGCATATGGAGTTGTTTATGAAAGTACATTTTTTTCCTAACGAGAAACAAAACGAGAAGAAAGGGGGGGAAGGCAAAAAAAAACAAAAAACCCAACCCCACACGCAGCCACATATGCACACACTTAATATTCAGCGTGGAAGAGATAATCTGTTATATAAGCCCACAGACAGACAATCCCCTTTTGCTTAAAGATGAAGTATCCATCAATGTTTGTCTGGAGCAGATGTAATCACAAGCAGTCAAGTCTGGAGGGCAGGACACTGCATGAATAATTCAAGCACTTCAGTCTACTTGATTGTGTGCAGATAAACACAAGTCAACCGCTAAACAGGTCAGCTGATAAACTTGTTTGTTCAGGACCAGCCACCCTCGGCCAGATGCCGGCAGGACCACGCCGCAATTAGCGGGATGCCTTGCGGGATGCCTGGCGGGGGGATGCTGCGCCAGGGATGCCTTTCAGGGGATGCTGCGGCCCCAAAGAGGGGGAAGAGGCTCCCCGGGCGCTCGCTGCGGTCCGGTGCTCCCCGCCCGCCACTCCTGCTCGCCCCATTTTCGCCTGGAAGCACAGCCAGGGCTGCTTTGTTTGCTCCGCGGTGCTGTCAATTAAAGAGTGAGACAGCTTCAGCTTCCCCAAGTTCCCGGCAGCGGGCACGCAGCAGATGTCACCGGGAAGGGCCCGGGATGYTGCTGGAATCACCCAGGCAGGATGGAACTGCTGCTTGCAGAGCTCCCAGCAAGGCACAGTGACCACGCCGGGCCTCCTGCGTTGTCAGTGCCAGAAAAATGCAGGGCAGCGACAGACTGATTCAAACTGGGAATTCTGGGGCTCCTCAGTCATCCCCCATCGAATTCTGAGGCTCCTCAGTTACCCCCGAGACCCCTTCAGCACCCACAGGAGGGGGCTGCTCCATCCATGCCTCCCAACGCTCACCCCGTGGTGCCAAACCTCACCGATCCCTCGGGATGTGCCCATGGAAAAACACTCAGCACGTCTTGGGAACAGCATTTTCCAGCCAGGGAATAAGCCCAACGTCTCGGGGCSTTTTTCCAGCATCTCCCAGAACCGAGCGGAGCTATCCAGCAGTGAGCAACCAGGTAGGAAGGGGCTGGGGAGAGCAGACCCTCTCCCCAAGAGCCTGGGCTCAGGTCACTCCAGTCCCTCCAGGTCACCCCAGCGTCACTCCAGAGTCCCCCAAGGCACCGCTGAGGCAGCTGCAGGCTCAGTGTCCCTCGGGACACATCAAACCCGCCCCCTGCTCGCAGCAGGGCCCCGGGCCTGCCCCACAATCCTGCACTTTGGGGGGTTCCCGAGCACCCCGGGACAAACCTGCCCAAGCTCCCCGAGCTCRGGGGTCCCAGACCCCCACTGCCCCCTCTAAGGACACCTGGGGCCGRCAGCAGCCCCTGGAGCGGGAAGTCGGGATTATCTGCGTGGAAGAAGATATTTATAAAAAACTGAAGACTAAGCAGGAATTATTTTCGTTGCCCCGTGACTCCGGCGCAGAGAGGCGAAGGGAAGCAGAGAGGCACATTCAGAGGCGCTGCTTTGCATCTCATCAGCGCCCAGGCAGCCTCCTCAGAGCCTCCTCGGAGCAGGGCGATGCCGCTATTAAGCCAAACCACTTTGGAGTTGAATGGGGCTGATTTGCGAGCGGCAAAGTTGATGTCAACTTCTATCTGCCTTAAGTTCTTAATTAGAACTCCTTCTAAAACCAGTAAGCAGCAGCAGCACAAATAATCAGGTCTAATCTCAATAATAACTTTATTCCTTTAAGTTTTACCATCATGTGCGCAGCCTTTAGGCTCTTTACCGATAATCTTATCAAGGTAGCACACCACATTCTGCTGGGGCCTTCTCTATTTTTTCCTTCAGGCAAGTTACATATTAGAGGAGACTGGAAGGGAGGGAAAAAAAAAACCCAACCAGCCCCAAACATTGCTTCATTTCCCAGACGCAAAGACAACTCCGTGACATTGAGCAACACACGGTGAGCTCTGGGAGCCCCGGAGATAATTCCCTGCTCGGTCTCACGCTCCAGCAGGGCCAGGAGCAGGGGATGACCTTACAAACAGCCCTGTTGTACCCACAACACGACCAGAGGCGGACGCAGYACATATCAGTGTTTTCCGAACCTTGGGAACGCGCTATTCCAGGTATTGACCTCCCAGCACGGGAGGCGAGGCTGCTCTCGCCTCTTTGCATAAACACTCTGTCTAAAACCCAAATTCCTCATGAATATCGACCAAAAATCCCCACCAAGCGCCATCAACCTGCGGCTGCCAATTTAACAGCCAGGCCATGGGATCCCACCTGGAGTCACATCTCTGCCTCCAGCACTTATTCCCTATTTAGTGCAATCAGGGCCGATTTTACCTCAGGTGGAGGAAAAGGGCAACAGGAGATCAATCAATCACTACTTCCCCCCTTGAAATTACTCACCTGTTTGTGCATTTCAATATTCAAACCRTACGACATTTCGTAGTACTGGGGAAGGAGAAAAGAAAAAATAGAAATAAATTCAATTAAACATGAGAGCCAAGGAGAATTTGAATTCAGTTCACAGAAGGTATTTGCATAAGGTCATTACCAAAAAGTATCCTGGGCAAAACTGGGCTTAAAGCACGGGTAGCCAAGGAAATTACACCTTATAATAAGCAGATGTTTATGGGTTTAACTGGCAGGCACTTAACGAGGGGACACTCCTTTTGACTCCTGTTTTCTCCTCCTAAGCTACTTAGAAAAACAAAGAGGCGCAGAGCTGGGTGACAGGCGTCTACTCGGCCCTGGCAGAACAGGTACAGCCCGGAGTCTGGCCAAAAATCCAGCCTCTCACCGGGAAGGGGGGGGATCTATTCTCCCCACCAGGGACCGGGGGAGCTGCTGGGAGCCGTGGGACCCGAAGGGAAAGGGGGTGCTGGATCCTGCCAAACCCATCAGAAACCCAAACGAGCCCACCCGGGGGGCCCACGATGCAAATTGAGCTAAAAAAAGAGCGTTTTGAGGCAACAAAAGTGCCCATTTCCCTCGGGAAGGATTTGGAGGGGGGGGGGGAGATGGGATGGCTCCAGGGTGGCCTCGGGGACAGCAAGGGGGAGAAACCCCACCAGCACCACGAACACCCCCCCTCTCCCCGCCCAGCCCGGGGTCACCGCTCCGGTCCCCCCCCGACCCCCCCGCGGCTGCAGCAGCGCTCCAAAGGGGTTAACAGGAAACTTGGGATTGCGCTTCCAGGCGTCTGGGGCTCGGAGCGCCTGGCACCGCCACCCCCCGCTCCGGGGGTCCCCGGGCAGGCAGTGCCCCGTCCCGGGGGGGGTCCCCCGGTCCCCCCCGTTCGCAGGCTCGCAGCTAATGACATTTACAGGCTGATCCGAAATCTGATTAAAGTCTCTCACCATAACGTAATGGCGCTGCATTTCGGTCTTCTCGTTCGCCAGCTTGTCATACTCCACTTTGAGGCTGGGGGGGAGAGCGCACCGTGAGACCCCGGAGAAACGGGGGGCTCGGGGCGGGGGGAGAGGCCGGGGGTGCCCCCGGGCTCACCTGTGGTACTGGGCCTGCAGGAACTGGAACTCGTCCTTGATCCGATCGCAGGACTCGGCCACGGTGAATTTGAAGCCCGGTTGGCCCGGCTGGTGCGGAGCCTGCGGGAAGC